CGAGCAGAAAACCACGGTCTTTCTCCCCCCCCCCCCCCCCCCCCCCCCCCCCGTTTTTGAGGTGCCCATGAATGAGTGGGATTCTTATTCATGGGCACCTCAAAAAAACAAAAACGTTACGATCGCAGTAACCAACCATCTCCTCTAGGCCTAGGGAGCAGAGGTTGTATGGCGAGGGGACCTCTACCACGCGCATGGTTCCTGTTCCGCATCCCGGATCGATATCCGCCCAGGCCAACCAAGCCCTCCATCCCTCCGTGGTCGATTTACTGGTATCTGACTCGTCTGGGTGGATAAAATCACTAATTTTTTATATCAGCCGCCCACCGCAGGTCACTGCCTAAGCCATATGCGCATTCATGACACCAGCATGATTCTGAGCGGAAGTCAAGGGCGGTGCGCATTTCAAAGACTTCACTGCAGCAATCGGTACTGATTGTTCAATGAGCTAGGATAGAAAAACGTGTCACTTTTTTCTCAGAAAAAGTGTAAGCCTGCTGAATCGTGTGCAAAAGGTTGGGACTCTACGAAGGGGTCGATCTGAGACCTAGCCTGGCTTGCTCATTCCTTTAGTGCAGAAGCCGGACCTTCAAGCAACTTTCAATATTTAAGTCCTAAGAGAAGCTATGAAAAACATGATTCTTCTTAAGGTGCTTGTCTCAGTAGGCAGCTTCGACAGCCTCCATCGAAGAACTTGGGAAATCTTCGAATCTTTCAGCATCTGTGCGACAATTACGTTAGAACATTCTACAGTACCCATGCCGGATTTGTCGTCTGTGGTACACATGGTCTCAATCCCACCTGCGCCAATTTTGCTGAACGTGACAGACGTGGGTTATTTTACATTCCTAGGATTCATCGTATACTATCATGGCATTAAGCGATATTAGATCCACATAAGTGGGTGCAGCGACAGGAATACTTTCCAAGATCGGGAAGGAGGTGATCCTCGTGTTTGACCGATCGATGACTCAGATACCTTGACTCACGTCGCCAAGTAGGCGGGGTTTCGTGATGGGCGGGACTTTCCACAAAGACTTCTGGATTCAAAGGAAGTGGCAAGGGGATACTTGTTATGTTTACAATTTGAGAACCTATACAACAGTCACGAAGTACAATTCGGGATTGATGGATGGGGTTAGAGAAAGGGGAATAGCTTCGTAAGCGTTCCGCGCAAGATTTCCAGGTTCTCATGAAGAACTGGAAAATTCCCCACATAAAGTTCTAACCCAATGAAAGGTTCCAAATTAGCCATAAATGACACAGTTAGCCACTTCGTGTAGAATCTATGAGCATAGCCAATCTTGAAGGCTTACAGCCGTTACCCTGACTACCCTCATCCAGTGCATCTAAAACTAAAAAGTAAAAGGGCATAGCTAATGTTAGGGCCATTAAAGGGGCATAGTTAATGTTAGGGCCATAAGGACTAATAAAAAGGCCTTTGGAAAAAAATCAAGAAAAGCAGTCCTTTTTTTATTCAATTTTTTTATTTAAGGGGCTCGACAAACGTTCGCCGGTGACGGCCTCGCTCCACATGCTCCCGACGTCGTCGCCCCGTTTCTGTTCTCCGGTCGTTACCTATACACAGCCAACGGTTAGTATTCATGATAACAAGACTATTTTATTTTATTTTAGATTATTATAATTATTTTCATTCATTTATTCATAGTTTATTTTTATTATTTATTTTTATGAAGGCATGAGGGCATGAATTGAGCGGAACAACATTAACATTTTGGCAGCAGGTAGACAATAAGTAAAAGAATCCGAATTTTGAATTGGGGATTGTTTAATTTAATCTGAATTAACAAAGGATAAGATATGGCTAACGATGATGGCAGACATATCAAACTGTCCAAATTAGTGCGGAAAGTAGAGATACTCTAAGAATCAAAAGCAAAAATATAAGCATTATGTTTATAGTTATTGTTATTATAAGAAAAAGTGCAAATTAGAAGGTGGTGTAGTGGCAAGTGGTGCACTATATCACACGCGCGGTCAGCGGTTCAAATCTCGGATCGATGCCCGCCTAGCCCAACCAAGCCTTCCATCCCTCCGAGACCGGTGAATTAATATCAGACTCGTCTGGGAGGATAAAAGCACTGACTTGTACATACGCTGGCCACCGCAAGTCATTGTGTAGCACCACATACGCACTCATCACGCAACGACGACTCTGAATGGGAGTCGAGTGCGGAGCGCATCCCTCAAACGGGATTTATTAGCGCCAAAAACTTTATTCTTATCCTTTTTATACAACTGTAGT